TGATTGTTTTCAAAATTTAAGTTTTCTTCTTCTGCATGTAAAAAAGGAATAAATAAATCAATCAAATTCCGGGAGGCTTCATAAAGTGCTTCCTTAGGAGTTAAACTTCCATTTGTCCATATTTCGAGAACTAGTATCTCTTGTTTTTCATTTCCATTCACATAAGAATGAATACTATGATTTGCATTTCTAACAGGCATGAATACAGCATCTATAGTATAACTTCCATCTTGAATGTTGTTTAGTGTTTTTATACGATATCCCCGCTTTCTATCAATTTCTAATTCAATACACAAATTAATAGGTTCTGTTAGGTTAGCTATATGTTGTGTATTATCAATGACTTCCACCGAAGGTGGTAAAATGATGTCTTGAGCAGTTACATATCCAGGACCTTTGAAACAAATAGACGCGTCCCGAGTTCCATACAGATTACTTCTCAATACAACTTCTTTTAAATTCATTAAAATTTCATGTATTGATTCTTGAATACCTATTATGGTAGAATATTCATGTGGTATTTTCTCAGATTTTGCACGTGTGATACATGTTCCCTCTATTTCTCCGAGCAAAATTCTTCGCATTGCAATGCCTATTGTATCTGCTTGACCTTTCATAAGTGGAGACATAATAAAGCGTCCATAACAAAGACGCTTACTGTCTACCCTTGATTCAACACACTTCCACTGTAGTGTCTGAGTAGATACTTTTAGTTTTTCTCGAATCATAGTAATATATTTTTATGAAACTCTTGATTTAATTGTTTATTTCTCTTGAAATCTTTTTCTTTAATGTTTATTGTTAGTTTTACACACGTCTTTTTTTAGGAGCCCTACATCCATTATGTGACATAGGGGTTACATCCCGTATAACCCTTACTCGTATCCGACTTCCAGAAATAGCTCTTAATGCCGCCTCTCTTCCTAGACCGGGACCTTTTATCATGACGTCTGCTCGTTGCATGCCTTGATCGACTACTGTTTGAATAGCATTTCCCGCTGCGGTTAGAGCGGCAAATGGTGTCCCCCTTCGTGTACCCTTGAATCCACATGAACCGGCGGAGGACCAAGAAATCACCCGACCTCTTACATCTGTAACAGTCACAATGGTATTGTTGAAACTAGCTTGAATATAAATAACCCCCTTTGGTATTTTACGAGGATGCTTACGCGAACCAATACGTCCAGTTTTACGTGAACCAATTTTTGGTATAGATTTTGCCATGTTTTATTATTTAAAAAAATTAAGTCCGAAATATATGGATATATCCATTTCCTGTCAAAAAACGATTCTTGACTATTTTCTAACTAGTTATTCTATTGTATTCTATAATTCAATTAATATAGAATACCATTTTCAAATATCAAGGAATAAGCAATTATATTTATGAGAATACTTATAACTATAGACTCTATTCGAATATAGAATCTATATTTTTAGATAGAGTATTTAATAAAATGGAATATTCATAAGATTTTTTATTTGAATTCTATTACAATTCAAATAAAAAATCTTATGAATAGAAAGCCCTTTTTTCTTTTAATATTATCCTTGTCTTTGTTTATGTTTTGGATTGGAACAAATTACTATAAGTCGACCTCGCCTACGGATCAATCGACATTTTTCACAAATTTTACGAACAGAGGCCGCCACTTTCATATTTTTCACTCCTTAAATTAAATTGAATACCAATTTTATAGATTGCAAGAAAATAGGGTTTCCTTACATTTTGAACTTCAAATTGTTCCTCCTAAAAAATATGTTGAAGTTATAAAATAGTCTAATCGAATGGAGTCAGCTATACTTCCTTTTTTGGTCGTATCCAGTGGAAACATAACCTAGAATCTGATTTGAATTCTATTTCTCTAAAGCAACCTCAACCTGCAACATACCCTCAGAAGTTGTTGATTAATTTAATCTTTATTAATTTTCATTTCTATTCTAGTTAAAACCTCTTCCCATATTCACTAATGTATCATGAATAATATTAGAAATCTGTTTTTTCTCTACTCCCTCCATTCACAATACTGTTGGCTCTAAGTTTTTTTCATATAATTCAGATATCGGCAAAATTAGCATTACCATATATAACATAAAACTTCTCCCCCGATTTTTTCTAATCGAGCCTCTCGATCTGTCATTATACCCCTAGAAGTAGAAAGAATTACAATCCCCATCCCTCCTAAAACTTTCGGAATTTTTTGATACTTAGAATATATTCGTAGACAAGGTGTACTGATCCTTTTTAAATTTAAAAAAGTTTTATAGGATCCTTTCCTATTTCTTCTATACCGTAGAGTTAAAACTAAAAAGTATTTGTTGCTTTCTCGATGTTTTCTGACGTTTTCAACAAAACCCTCTCGTAAAAGAATTTTTACAATGTTTTCGGTGATATTAGTAAGTGGTATTTTAACAGTTCTTTTTCTATTCATGTCAGCATTGCGTATCAAGGTTAGTATATCAGCGATAGTATCTTTACCCACGATAGATTTTTGCTCCTTACTTTCGATATAATCAACGTGCTCCCGTTTTTTTATTTTTTATTTTTTGATTCAATCAAATCTCTCATATTGAATATGAGAATAGAATAATACTCTATATGTATAGAAAATTTGATTGTAATTAGGATAATCTAAATATCCGAATATAGAATATTCTAAAACTAAAAAAAGATAGAAATAAAATGAACGAATGACCTATTCGAAACTATATAAATAATCTTATATTGAATTCGAATTCTATTTTTTTATACAAATAGAATTCGAATTTTTATTTTGAATATATTGACTTGAATATAGAATATATATTTCATTCGTATTCTAATCTATTTCCTATTCATTCAAGTCATAAATAATATATCTATATCATGATCTCTTATTATAATACCTCAGGTGCTAATGAAACTATTTTAGTGAAATTTAACTGTCTCAATTCTCGGGCTATTGCGGAAAAAATTCGAGTTCCTTTTGGATTTCCTTCTTTATCAATGAGAACCGTCGCATTATCATCATACTTTATTATTATACCATTACGACGTTTTAGTTCTTTACAAGTACGTACAATTACAGCTCTGATGACTTGAGATCTTTTTAAAGATGAATTTGGCACTGCTTTTTTGATTACAGCAACAACAATGTCACCAATATAAGCATACCTTCGATTACTAGCTCCTATGATTCGAATACACATCAATTCGCGCGCTCCACTATTATCGGCTACGTTTAAATAGGTTTGAGGTTGAATCATATCCTTTTTTCTTATCTTTCAGTTTCAGTCAAAAAGTTGAAGTAAAAAAAATATTTTGTGTTAAAAAAAAAACGGAGAATTGCCTTTTTTCATACTAAAGATCTCTTTCATTCTAATGATTATTCGGAAAGAATAAATTGAGTTTGTATAGGCATTTTGGATGCCGCTATTGAAATCGCCTTTCTAGCGATATTTTCTGGAACACCTCCCATTTCATAAAGTATTTTGCCGGGTTTAACAACAGCTACCCAATATTCGGGTGATCCTTTTTCCCGAACCCATACGCGTTTCGGTAGGTCTTACTGTAACAGGTTTGTCTGGAAATATGCGTACCCATATTTGTCCACCCCGGCGAACATTTCGTGACATTGCCTGTCGACCCGCTTCTAGTTGTCTAGATGTGATCCAAGCGGGCTCAAGTGCCTGAAGAGCATATTTTCCGAAGCAAATTTGACTACCACGAGAGGCTTTTCCTTTCATTCTTCCTCTATGATGTTTGCGGAATCTCGTTCTTTTTGGGTTATAGTTGATGGTTATTTCTCAATTCCATCTCTATTACAGAACCGTACATGAAATTTTCACCTCATACGGCTCCTCGCGAATAAATCGATTGAAAAATATTGAATCGAGAAAATAATAATAATTACTACAATAAGATACAACAGAATATAATCGCGGGATTTTTTTACATTTAATAGAATCTATTGATCTATTAGAAATTTTTTAATCTTGCTTTGATATATAACGAAATATGTATTCTTATAGACCATTTTTGCTATCCGTATCTAACTAGCTAATATTTTTGGATATAAGGTTCTAACGAATCAGTATTTTTCTTTTTTTATTATTATCATATTGGATTGGCAAAAATTTATCAATTCCAAAAAAATCCACATTTTCGCGGGCGAATATTTACTCTCTCATTATAAATTGATTAAATTGAAGATGTAATGTAGGGTTAGTCCACAACTCCTCAAAAAAGAATGAATTCTTAGTTCCTTCCGCCATCCCATCTAATGAATCAGTAAGATTTCAAATTTTAATATAATCTTTTGTATTCACAGGTTCCGTCGTTCCCATCGCTTTTCAATTTATGGTTAGGTCTAAATTCTACAATGGAGCCTCTTTAATTAAGAAGATTCCATTTTTTTATTTTCTTATTTTCTTCTTTTTTGTTGAATCAACCTTCTCAGTTTTCTTGATTCGTGGCTCTTGATTCTTTTATTCTAGGAATATATTCATCCATATATGGATGAATTTTGAAGATTGATGCTTTATTACACTACTTTTTATGAGATGACCCATAGACCTTTACATAGGAGAATTCTATATCATTGATATCCTTTTTCTATCTTTCTTTCACCCCTTCATTTATCTGTATATTCTTATTGCTTTACAACTATTAATCTTATTTTTTTTTTATTTAAGTTGCTATAATTATATCATCACATAGATCCTTATTTTGATTTTAGATTTTCGGCGGTTCTTTATATCCAGATAATGGGAAGCGATGAGTAGGTTATTTATTCTTTAGTAATTAATTCGACGAATTTTTGTAGAAAATTAACCACTCTAAAAAAAAAACCAACGAGTCACACACTAAGCATAGCAACTCCTTCATTATAAAATGATTAATTAATTTTTTTTTATTCAATCTTTTAAAATTTTTCATTTCTTCTTTGAGAATAAGAACGTAGTAAGAATTCGTCATTTTTTGTTTCCTCAAAAGATGGAACGTTATAAGGAAAAGGTTATTAGTCGTTGTTTATAAATATCCAAACTTTGATTCCTAAGACCCCATAAATAGTTCGAACTGGATAGGAACAATAATCAATTTTAGCTCGAATGGTTTGTAGAGGAATCCTACCTTCTCTGATCCATTCGACACGTGCAATTTCGTTTCCGTCGATGCGTCCCGCAATTTGTATTTGAACTCCTTTTGTACCTGCACCTGCCTCTTCAGCGAATTTTTTTATAGTTTTTTGCATTGCTTTATGAAACGGAATTCTATTCTTTAATTGTCTGGCTAGAAATTCTGCAAGAATATTCGGGTCTCTATAAACATTTGGAATTCTTGTAATTTCAATGTTGATTTGTCGGTTCACACAATTTTTTTTTTTTGCACATTAGTATGTAATTCTTCCATTCTTTCAGGGTTATCCTCTATTACTAAGTTTGGGTTTGGAAGTCCCATATTGATTATCACGTGAATCAGATCGCGTGTTTTTTTAATCTTTATTCGTCCAATTCCCTCGCCATCGACAGCGGTTGTTGTTTTTTGTATTTTTTGTATATAATTCTTGATACAATCTCGTATTATTTTATCTTCTTTTACATTCTCGGAATAAATTCTTGGTTGTGCAAACCAAATAGAATCATGACTTTGAGTTGTACCAAGTCTGAAACCAAGCGGATGTATTTTTTGTCCCATAATCCCTCACTACTCTATATAAAATAATACGTCTGATTTGTCTACTTTTTTATCTATATATATATATATATTTTTTAATATCTTGATATATCTTTTTTTTTCTGCAAAGCATTAGTTCTATTATAATAACCCTTTCAATTTTTGAATATTATTAATTACCATTCACGCTTTGTGTTGTGAATAGACAAAAATATTTTTTGAACAAAGGGTTATATTTCTCTGTATTGGTTCTATTTTCACGAAAAAATAAAATCTGTTTTTTTGATTGCAGAATAATACAATTCTTTTTGAGTAATTTATTAATTAATATTTATTAATGACTATTACTAAATTTATGTTAAAATGAATGTTAACGACGAGATCTATTATCATTTTTCGCAAAGCCTCGGAAGTTTCGAGTAGGTGAAAATTCTCCCAATTTATGGCCTACCATACGATCTGTTATATAAATAGGTAAATGCTCTTTTCCATTATGGATAGCAATGGTATGCCCAATCATTGTAGGTAGAATGGTAGATCTTCTGGACCAAGTTATTATTATTTCCTTTTCTCCTTTTGTGTTAAGCTTATTTATTTTTCTTAATAAATGATTCGCTACAAAAGGATTTTTTTTTAGTGAACGTGTCATAGTTAATTATTCCTCTTAAAATTTCTAAAAAAATGAATTTTTTCTCTTATATTTTTTATTTTATTTCCAATTTTAAAATATAGAATCTCTTTTTAAAATATAGAATCTCTCAAAAAAGAAAATCATAGAATGTCATAGTCAATCGCTCTTTTCTTTTGTAAAGACGAAGAAACAAATTCTATTTTCTCTACTATCCACTATTGACTACGGCGACGAAGAATCAAATTATCACTATATTTCTTCCTTTTTCTAGTTCTTCTTCCAAGTGCAGGATACCCCCAAGGAGTTGAGGGTTTTTTTCTACCAATTGGGGCCCTCCCTTCACCACCCCCATGTGGATGGTCTACAGGGTTCATAACTACCCCTCTTACTACAGGACGCTTGCCTCGCCAACGTTTAGCTCCGGCTCTGCCCAAACTTTTCTGGTTTACCCCAACATTCCCCACTTGTCCGACTGTTGCTGAGCAGTTTTTTGATATCAAACGGACCTCTCCAGAAGGTAATTTTAATGTTGCTGATTTACCCTCTTTTGCAATCAGTTTCGCTACAGCACCCGCTGCTCTAGCTAATTGTCCACCCTTTCCAAGTGTTATTTCTATGTTATGTATGGCCGTGCCTAAGGGCATATCGGTTGAAGTAGATTCGTCTTTTTGATCAATCAAAACCCCTTCCCAAACTGTACAAGCTTCTTCCAAAGCATACGGCTTTCTGGATGTAGATTAGAATATCTATACAGATACATCTTATATATCGTTTATTTCGTATATTATATATGACATAACGAAGTACCATACCACATGAGTGGATATATAATATACGAATCCAAATATTCTGAATGACTCATGTTATGATCTTCTACATCCTAGGTCTTTCTGTTCCTTCATCTGGCTTATGTTCTTCATGTAGCATTCAGACTGAATGACTCTATGAAATTACGTTGCTACTTAGACATAGTACGGGTAACGTAGGAGACATTTCTATTTTTTCCCGGGGGAATCCTTAGAATTACCACTGCTTAGCTTTCAATTTGCCTTTGACCATCAAATGAAATGTGAATAATATGTGTCTTCCCCCCCTTTGTTTTTTGAAACGAGGAGCACTTCGTGTTCTGTCGGTGCTTGAAACAATTTTGTCTTCTCCATATTACTATATCTCTAGGGTCAATAATTTTATATTAGGAACTACTGAACTCAATCACTTGCTGCTGTTACTCTTCAGTTTTCTGTTGAAGTCTATCCTGTAGAGGTACTCAAATAGGATCAGTGATCGATTTCTAGGTTTCGCCTTAAACCTAATTGGTTACTTCCAATTACGTAAATCTATAGTTCAAACCGCACTCAAAGGTAGGGCATTTCCCATTTTTATAGGAACTTTTGTACCATAAATAATGGTATCTCCAATTATAGCCCCTCTGGGGTGTAAAATATATCTTTTCTCACCATCCCCATAGTGTATGAGACAAATGTGTGCATTTCGATTAGGGTCGTATTCGATAGTTACAATTCTACCATATATGTCTTTTTCATTGCGTCGAAAATCAATTTTACGGTATAGACGCTTATGACCTCCCCCTCTATGCCCTGCGGTAATGATTCCTCTGGCATTACGCCCTTTACCACAATGATGCTGTCCAGAAATCAAACGATTTCGTGAATTGGATTTCACTTGACTGTTTACGGCTCCATTGCGTGTGTTCGGGCTAGAAGTTTTGGATAAATGTATCGCCATGTTATGAAGTGTATTTTTATTTAAGTTATTTTCTTTCTAAGAGGTGGAATAGAATAACCCGGTTGAAGCGTAATGATCATACGTTTGTAATGCCTTGTATGTCCCATAATAGGTCGTATTCTTCTACCCTTTATTGGGATTGCGAGTTGATTCATAGTTCTTACCTTGACACCAAAGAAGAGTTCGACCCAATGTTTTCTTTCTGTCCTAGTTAATCCTGATTTGACATGAAAAGTATATTGATTTTTTCGAAATAACGAAAATTTAGTGTCTGTAAATACTGCAGATTTTATTCCATTCATAAATCTATTTTATTCTTTCTTCCCGATGAGTTCTAGTCTCACTAAAAATACTAGTTTTTTTACTGTTCATTTATTAAAATTTGAATATACCACACCAATTTGTTATGTATGGATGATGAGATTCCATTGATACAGATCCAAGTCTCGATTCAAATACTACTAAGCTAAGAGGTCTACTACAGATCAGAAATTATTTAAATAGAATAAATAAAGAAATTCTTTCTTTATTTAGAAATGATCAATTCTTGAAGTTTCTATTATTTTCAAATTCAATTATTAAAGAAAGAAGAAGATGTTTCTTTTTTTCTTTGGAGGAAATTGGAAAAGAAAGAACTAGCCAATATAGTCAAGATAATCATGTATTTACAAAATAATGTCTCAATTCATCCTATATTCATCCGATGGAGGATGTGATAGGATTGCAAAGGAGAAACTTTTGACAGTTCAAAATAATAATTCATGATTAAAAATATAGTTTTTAGGGGAGATATTTCTATTGGCATGCATCCAGTAGGAATTGAACCTACGACTTCGCCAATTATGAGTTGGGCGCTTTAACCATTCAGCCATGGATGCTTCGAGGGAACAACCCTCCGACTTGATGAATAACCAAATTTCAATTGAAGTGAAATCTTTTGGATAAATCAATAGAAATACATACATAAAGAAATAACTTAATAGAAATACATACATAAAGAAATAACTTAATAGAAATACATACATAAAGAGATAAATTAATAGAAATACATACATAAAGAAATAACTAAATAGAAATACATACATAAAGAGATAAATTATTTTTAATTTTTTAAGGAGGATCCTATGAAGAACAATCAATTCCACTTTTGGATTTTCGAATTGCGAGAAATTTTTAGAGAGAGCAAGAATTGTGCCTATTTCTTAGATTCCTGGACGCAATTCAATTCAGCGATATCTGTCATTCACATTTTTTTGCATCAAGAGAGTTTGATAAAAGTCTTAGACTCCAGAATTTGGAGTATCCTAGTTTCACGTCAGTCACAGGGTTTAACAAGAAATCGATATTTCACGATCAAGAATGTAGTACTTTTTGTAGTAGCGATCCTTCTATATCGTATTAACAATCGAAGGATGATCGGAAAAAAATATTTATTTGACAGGGCTTCTTCCTATACAAATAAATTCCATTGGATCCGGCAATGATAGATTGGAAGACTCAAAAGATTCGTTCAATATCAATAGGTTGATTGTTCCGCTCCTGTCTGGTCCAAAAGAAAAAAAGATCTCTGATCGCTCTTTTTTCTCGGACAGATGGTCCCAACTTCATCTGGATTTGAATCCTACTGAGAAGTCCGCTCAAGATCTTCAATTATTAAAGAAAGAAGAAGATGTTTCTTTTGTTCTTTGGAGGAAATTGGAAAAGAAAGAACTAGCCAATATAGTCAAGATAATCATGTATTTACAAAATAATGTCTCAATTCATCCTATTTCATCCGATGGAGGATGTGATAGGATTGCAAAGGAGAAACTTTTGACAGTTCAAAATAATAATTCATTCTTGACCAAAAATCTAGTTTTTGGTTTATTTCATCTATTCCATGACCAGAATAGGGGGGGTACTTGTTACATCGCAATTTTCAATCAGAAGAGAGATTTCAAGAAATGGCAAATCTATTTAATCTATCACTAACTAAGCCGGATCTGGTCTATCGTAATGGATTCTCTTTTTCTATTGGGTTTTCTGAACCGGAATCAAAAAAAAAATCTTTATTGGTTCTGTCGCGGCTTTTTGACGAAGCGAATGAATCTTTTTATCCAAAGATCATAAAAAAATGGGTCCAGACCTCTTGTGGGAATTATTTTCAAGGTAATCGATTCAATCACAACTTCGAATATGTACTTCAAAGGTATCAAAATGATATTCTGAATCATAGACCTATAAGGAAACACACGATCAATCAACGTTTCTCAAATTTGAAAAAGAGTCAGAAGAAATGCTTTGATCGTCTTATTTTTATTTATCGAACCGAGAGATCCGTGAATAAGGATCCAAATGCATATAAATACAAATGGTCCAAGGGGAGCACAAATTTCCAGGAACATTTGGACCATTTCATTTCTGAGCAGAATAGTCGTTTTAAAGTAGTGTTCGATCGATTACATATGAATGCATATTCGATTGATTGGGCTGAGGTTATCGACAAAAAAGATTTTTCTAAGTCACTTTGTTTCTTTTTGTCCAAGCTTCTTCCCTTTTTGTCTAACTCACTTCCTTTTTTCTTTGTGAGTTTCGGGAGTATGCCCGTTCATAGGTCCCAGAGCCATATGTATGAATTGAAACGTATGAATGATGCACTCGAGAA